TGAAGACCGTTCTGCCGTTCACCACGCGGACGCTTGTTCTATCCCATGATAATGTTGATGTGAGTGTTCACTTCATATTGTTAAAAACATTCCACTCTTATCGTGTGGGCGGGATCAGGTGCACCATTGTGCATCTCTCGCTGGTTCGGCTTTCCTCTTCACAGTTTCAGAAGGAAGGTCCGTCCTGGTAAGGCGAGACACAGCTGCACGTGATTTCACCTTTCTTTACGATCAGCGAAAAATGTTCCTTTGATTCACTTTGGATGATTCGTTTTATTATCCTGTTATTTTCTTCCGATTTGCTTCAAGAACAATTCCCGCGATCGAGTAGTCCCCCCCCTAATCACTCTGTCAATTTATTGCTAATGTTAGTCCACATTTCCCCATTTCTGGGCTGCTCCCGGATCGAATCATGAATTTTCATCCGCTACAATGCTAACTTTCGACGCATGTCCCGCCCACGGTGGATGGAGCTTGGTATAGATAACATGTGCTCTTTACATGCCCTACCTATCCCAACTTTGACCCGATCTCTCCAAATTGCTCTTCAGGAGGCACCGAATTTCGGGACAGACAGACCGGTCGACAAGCGCAAATAGGCTCAGCAAATTATTTATAGTAGAGGGAGCTTTTGGAAACTCTGTGTACAAAATTAGGATTACGGTTAGCAAATCACGCAAGGCGTTTTTCACCCCTGCCAATACATCAGTGACGAATTAAAGACAGCCCCCGCGATCAAAGTGGCTCGTGGTCGCCTTTGCTGTGCAAGTAGTCTAGCCTCCAAGCTAGAAGATTGTTCACCTTTCGCGACTCGGTGTTGGTTAGTTAGGTGAGGATGCTATAGTACGCCAAAGTGCTAGTTCTAACTCCTCCTCAGTCGGACCGCCTTTACTTGCTAGATGTCCTCCGACGGAGGGCCACTCACTTGTTCTTAGTTGGGGCGGCGGGCCAATACAGAACTCAAGATGCCATCTAATGCCCCTGGATGAATTCTGCTCTCTGCATACAGTTATCGTTGTCCACGTACAGCGGCTCATTGGAGGTATATACATTCAATTCAACCCATTTCGCGAGGTGAAACGCGTAAAAAACACGAGTGACGCAATTTTCGTGATGCAAAACCACGACGCACAAAAGGTGCGCTACCGTAATCACAAATTCAGACACCGTGTTGATAAAATTCCTTTTTCCTTCCCAGAGTTTTTCCTCTGCGTTTTTGTTGTTTTCTTTTTGTATTCTTTTTTTGCACTGGATGATATCAACTACTGCGAGATGTGATAGAGAGATTTGTGAGCTAGGGGCTGCACAGAGACCGCAGGGAGGTGTAACTGTGAGGGAGCGATTTTGTTTATGTTGTTCTGGAGAACGCTTCTTGCCTGTTTTCTTCTTTGGGAGATTACTTATCAGCTGCTGTTTCATAATTGGAAAGCAGCTATCCATGAGACTTTTATCGCGGGAGCTGTCTTTAAAGGCAGTTGGCACGATAAATCCCCGGACGAGTAGGATTAATACGCCTGGCAGGACGGAATTCCGCGATCCTGAGCAGCATATTGCCTTTCCCCACTATAGTGCGCCCTACTATTATTTTAGGCTGAGCACCAGATCATCGTAGGAACTGCCTTTAAAGGCAATTCCCGCGACCACACTTCATAGGTAATACAGTTCAAAAATAGAATTGCCCTGTGATTGTTGACTTATTGAAGAGAAGGAACCACGAAAAAGCGCCCGCAATAAGACCCTCTTTATTTCAATTGATCATGATCACCGGACGAGCGTAAGGTGGTCAATTGTGGATTGCAAAAGGCGGCGATACACTGATAAGAGACGAGAGAGGCCAGAAAATGACGGGCGAGAGAGCGCAATGGCAATGTCACAACGACACGGTCACTGGAGGCCGGCATGGGCCTATCGGGCGCCAATGGGCCTAAAACATGAGCGCCGTGCGTTCTGCTTGCTGTTTTTCAACTTTTAAAAGCAGCATATCCTCTACTGTTGCCTGCTTGATCATCATGCACGTTTATGAGGTTCTAGCCTTAGTTTATCGCGGAACGTGCCTTTAACTTTCTTTCTCTTAATCTAATAAAAGAAAGAAAGTTCAGGAAACTTATGATGAAAGGAACGAAATATAGGATAGACTCAGGAATAACAAGGAAAGAAGTCAAAACGATTTATGAGGCTACACTTAATAAA